AAAAAATTCATTTCGTTTTCTCTTTTTAAATCCTTATTCAAAATTCTTGATCCAAACGTATTAACATAAATATACAATAAATTTTACTATATAAGTGGATCACATTTTAAAAAAAATAAAATAAAATAAACTCAATTGTAATAATACTTGCATGGTGTATTCATTTTGTTTGATTTTGAATTTCAAAATGTATTTTTTGATTTTTTTGATTTTATATTTTTAGTGAACCTTTAAAAAAATTTAATTAATTTTTTAAATACACCTAAAAATAAAATATTATGAAATTTTCTTCTGCTTGATTATTGATTTCTTATTCTTTGGGAGCTGAACATGAAAGACTTAAGCTTAAAGCGAGATAATCGAACAGAGGAGATTTGTAGGCGTTCTTTTAAGAGGGACTTGACTTGTAGCCCAACTCTATGATCATGGGTAAAACAAAAACAAACCTGTGATGTGACCTAAGATTAATAGATAAGAGTCTTGTCCCAAATATCATCCTAGAGTGATAAAATGAGGGGCAAGAAGTGAGATTTGTATGTAGACTCACAAATTTTTTATTTTTAAATTTGACTCACAATGAAAATGTATAGAGAGATAATTAATTAATAATTAAAGAAAATATGAGAGAAAAAATTATTTTAGATATTTTAACTTTTATTTGATTATCACATCATTAGATTTAAAAAAAGAAAAATAACTGCACAATAATGACAGTAAAAAAAAAAAATCGAAATCATGAAAAAATATAATATTTTAATTATTAAAATATATAAACTTTTTCACTGATTTATATTTTTTTTTAACTGTCCAACTATGCGCTATTCCCCTTTGAAAAATGGGTATAACCTTTGGCCTAAAATAGCAATGTCCATCATATATATACAGGTTTCACAACATAAAACCTTATATTTTTATTTTTTTCGTTCAGAAATTATGAAGACCATTGTAGCAGTTTATTGGTTATTTAATTTTTATCTCTATCACATTATATAAATTATTTATTTTGATGTTATTAAATATAGTTTAACTTTAATAAATTAATTAACTTAGTTGTATTAAAAAAAAGAAGAAGAAGAAATCTCAAATTTATCTATAACTCGGGCAATTCGAGCCTAACTCGAGTTAGACTCAGACAAACAATCTTGGGTTATAATTTTTTTTTTTACTATCCAGTTGTTCTGTTATTTCCCCTTTGAAAAATGAATATAACTTTTGAGCTAAAATAACAATATCCATTATATATATACAAGTTTCACAGCATAAAACCTTATATTTTTATTTTCTCATTCAGAACTTGTGAAGACCATTGTAGCGGTTCATTGGTTCTTCAATTTTTATCTCTATCACACTATATAAATTATTTGTTTTTATGTTATTAATAATTTTATAAAAAATATATATAAACATAGTCTAATTTTAATAAATTAATTAACAAAAAAAAAAAAAAAAAAAAAACCTCAAATTTATCTACAACTCGGGCAATTTGGGCTTAACTCGAGTCAGATTTGGGTAAACAATCTTAGGTTATAATTCGGGTTTGAACGGGTCTGAGCAACTCTCAGCACAACTCGGAATGGGTTTGGATAACCTCTCAATACACCCGAGTTACACCCCTAATTATGATAGATGTCAATTTTGATTTATTACACATTTTATAAGTTCCACATTTCTAACCACATCATTGCGAGTGAATTTATAGATCTAAAATTATAAATTTGTAATATTTCTCAACTTGTGGATTGGGTACCTAAAAAAATGTCAATTTTTGGTTAAAAAAAAGTTGCAAAGTAAAAAAATCACTAATTATTTATCATCCTTTAAAAAAGTAAATGTCACAATAACTTTTAACTTTTTTTACTTCCAAGAAAACAAAATATTTTTAACTTCCCAAATACATTGTCGAAAAGACAAGATGGGAACCCCAAAAAAAATCACCAAGGATCCTTTAGAGTGTTTTTTTCCTAAAGTTTTCTAAAGTGATGTATTGTGTGGTTGAGATTTAATGCTGAAAAATTAATGTGACTTGTCATTAAATCTCAACCACACAATACACCACTCTAGGAAACTTTAAGAAAAAAAAACTCTAGAGAATCCTTGCTCATGTCAATTTTTTTTTTTTTTCAAACCTTTTGGTCCTTTTTGGACGTTTTTTTAAATTTCAAATTTATTTTTAATCCATTTAGTCAAGTAGAACTTAAAATTATAAGGTTTTTAAAAAAAAAAATTAAAAAAATTACTAAAGAATCCCAAAAAAAAAAACTCCTTTCAGTTGTATTTATTTTCGCACATTTATTTCAGTAAGGCTATGAGTGTTTAGATGCGAATCCAACCCGAATTGAGCCTTTTAGAGAAGTTTGTGATGCAAATATTTTCAAGATTGCCACTTCGCTGATTATTACGGGGGTCGAGCTGCCCGGTCAGCTCGCGGCCCGAAGCAAAATGCAAAAATGCATTCAAAGTTGCCTGTCCGATCATGTTATATTTTTCCAGTTTTTCCAGTTTTGGCCTGTCCGCTCGAGCGGGGAAAGGGACGCTCGAGCGGGGATTGGAAGCTCTCAGCATCTCTGCAGTCGCCTGAAAAAGTACTGGATGGTGTGATTTGCTGCTCGAGCGGCAAAACCGACGCTCGAGCGTAGAGCCTGTATGAAATCACAGAATTTGAAGTCTCCGCTCGAGCGGGAAGACCCACGCTCGAGCGGACCGCGCGATCCCAGATTTCCAGATTTGATTAAAGAGTTGGTTTTCTTATGAAATTAGGATTGCTTTGGTTTTCTATAAATAGTTGGTTTTCTCCCAACACTAGGATAACTGCTCCAGATCTTCTTTTTGGTTTCTAGGGTTTATATCTGGGGATACTTTGGGAGTTTTCTTTGATGTTGTTTATTGAGTCTTCAACTCATGTTCTAAAGAGAGTACATCAAAGGTTGTGTTTTGTTCTACAAAAGAGAGTGTTGTTCTTCAGTTGTGTATTCTGAAGAATTCGAGCCTGAAGCTGTCGTGGAATCCAGAGTGGCTCATCAGAAAGACAATTCCGTGGTGAAGATGGGGTTGGAAGAGGCACATAAAGGTTGGTTCAATTAGGCGTTGTGGATTCGCTAGGTAATTGAGAGTATACCTGTGTAATTCCTTTAATTCTTCTTAGTGGATTGTCTTGTGGCTGTTGCCCGTGGTTTTTTTATCACAGTTGGAGGTGTCCAATTGTGGTTTTTTCCACGTTAAAATTGTTGTGTCTCTTTGTCTTGATTGTTTGATTGGGATTGTTATATTCTGCTTTAAATTGATACATAATCACAAATCAACATCTAGGGGATCTCTAGGATTTTTCAAAAACTACAATCATTTTAGTATTTTATTTTCTTCCCCTCAAGAATCAAGACTTCCCGATTAACCAAACGTAATACAAAGAAAATGAACTTCCATTAATGAATAGATAAGAAAAGAACCAAACGGAGATCCATTTTTTGTTTTTTTGAAATAATGGAGCATTTTCTTCATCACGTAATAAGGAAAATGGCCAAATACGCTATTGGTTTTAAATAGTCTCCAATGTTGCACTTGTCAAATACACTATCGATCTTCAAAATATATACATATTGTTTTTATTTTGATGCTCAATGTTTAAATTATATAAATTTAATTTTAACTTATGTAATTTTTTTAAAAATATTTTTAGTGTGGCTTTTGTTCAAATTTTATGACCAAAGTAGGGGTATTTTTACCCAAATTCAAACAAAATTTGGATGGATATAAAATGTTTCTATTTACCGACTACAAAAACTCATAATATACTATTTTACTGCTTGAATATCAAATATCAAACAAAAACTCAATGAACAAAAATTCAACAGTAATGCTACATACTCAGAATTTTACCAAAGAAAATATCTAGAAAAATGCATCTATAGTTTACTATCATTTTAAGTATTATCCATATCTTACCAACTTTAGATTTACACCATACAACTCATTGCAGGGTAATTTTTCATAATTCATAGCATTTATGAAAACCCAGTTCAATTCTTGATATTCGTTGTTTTTGTTCATGTCTAAACAATTCATTTCATTCCGTAATTATATTTAAACAGGCAAAATAGTGTGAATTTAGACAAAAGTCGATGTGCAAATGGAACTTGAACTCCCCACATGCGGTATTGGAGATCATTTATGTTGTGTTTGGTTGAGGGATTTGAGGAGGGATTTGGAAAGAAAAATGGAAAAGGTGTGTGAAACTAGGTGAAATATAGATATGTTTTATTCACATTTCACCTACCTTTTCCATTTCCCTTTTCAAATCTCTCTCCAAATCTCCCAACCAAACACAGTATTAAAGAAACAACTGGGCTTCCTTTCACTGCATGATCTAGATTTTTTGGATTAGGATAGAGGGTACCTGTTTGAGTTTGTGAATCTGTAGACCTGTGGGGCTCATCATAAGTCTTGTTTTAATAATTTAAACTACTTATTTTATAAGGCCTTTCATATATATCATTCACACAAAAATTAGATTGATTTGATAATCATAGCCTATTCAGTTTATCGTTTTTCTCTCTAAAAAAGTGACTAGTGTATTGAATTGGTGATAAATTGAATAAGTTAATCGATCTAAATTTTTTTATAAATAATTTATACAAAAAATACTCAATAAAATAAACGATTTAAATTATTAAAATGGAAGCTGTGGTGAATTTCACGTTCCTATAGGGCAGAAGCCACCTCCTTAAAAGAAAAATGAATTTATGAATCAAATTGATATAATTTAGGAGAATTTCCATATCAGTGGAATTTTCACAATTTAATTACACATCATCTATGAAAAACTATTATTTCACTTTTTAATACTTACAAAGTATATCATTAATTTGAAAATGTTTTTCCAGACTTATATTGAAATGAAATTATCCCTATAATTAAAAGAAGTGTTTGGAAATTAATTATTTTAGTGAGTTTTTATAAAAAGACATAAAAAAAATAAAAGAATAATTAAAAACCTTTATTAATTGTCTGACTTTTTAATTAAAAATCAAAACTACGACTCCTCAATATTGAGAATCAAAATAAAACAGAACGGATAATTTAACAACAAATAATCTAACGAAAATATGAAAAGAATGAAGATATCAATACTGTGAACCAGTCTGAAGCATACCCATAATAGAAAGCGCCATTGCAGAGAGCTCGAAAGTATCACCATTCCTCTTCGTCAATGGCGAAACAACCCCTCTCTTCTCTTTAAACCCATCTTCACAAGTCGTAGCAGCATCCATAACCGAACTCAATTCCACATTCGCATCCACAAATCTCTCCAAATCATAATTCTCCATCGCCTGCTCCACAGAAGGAATCGCATCAGAGTACAGATCAAAACAATCTTCTAAGCACCGCTGGATGAATGGGTTGACGAGTTTCTTGTTCTTGATCAGCTGTTGGATGAAGCAGTTGGTGTCGGTGACGTTGGATTGGATGAGTTTGATTGATATTGTGCGATAAATGAGTACCCACTAGATTAAAATGAAAGTTATATAAAATGATTATTAGACCAACAATGTTTTATGGAACAAAATGTTAGGCAACTAAGAAATAACATGTAGATAAGATGAGTGTTGCTAAGATAAGAATGTTAAGGTAAATGTGTAAAAAGACTAGAAAAGACAGAGTTAGGAATAAGTATATTCGTGAATGGGTAAAAGTAGTACTGATAGAAGATTAGATGTGAAACAATAGATTGAAATGGTTTTGTCATATACAATAAAGACCAACAGAGGCAGTAATGAAGATATGCAATACAGTGACGGTAGAGGGAAGTGTTAGGGGAAGGGACAGACGTAGATTGACGTGGGTTAGAGTAGTAAATAGAGATATGAATCTTTTTAATTTGACTAATCAAATGGCTTTTGATAGAGTGGAGTGAAGAAGGATTTATGTAGTCGATTCCATTTAATGGGACTTAAAAGTTGGTTTGGTTTGGTATGATTTTTATAATCCTCATATTTTTGTTGAATTGATTTATATTTTGGGTAATTGTTGTGGAATCTAGTCCTATTAGGACCTTTTACCCAAGATATGAAAAAAAAATAAATAAATAAAAATCAATGCAACAATGATACCATGCTATGAATATATGTAATTTTATATTTAAATTTTTGACTATTGTTGGATTGATTTTAAAAAGTGATTAATAGCTATCTAAATTTCATGGGCACTTTGGGAAACCAAAATTGTGTGACATAGTTAATTTTTATTTTTATTTTTCAAAGGTACTTAATCCATAGGTTCATTTTTGAAATTTTTTGGGTCAATATGTTTAAACTTAAATCATCTTTTTAGACCAAAACGACATTGGTCTGTCCAAATGTCACATGTTCAATTGTTTCTTTTGTATACATGTCACTTATCTATACACGTGTTATATATTAGTGTAATGTCACCTATCTGTTCACCTTGTTGCCACCAGCCATCATTGACTTTCTAAGAATTTTTTGGCCAATTTTCTTTGTGAAATTTCGACAACTTTTCAACTCTTGCAACCATTTTTTTTATCCCCAAAAAAAAAAAAAAAGAAAAAAGATTAAATCTTTAAGTAAGTAACATTTTGTCTCATAATTGTATGATTTTCACGAATTAACCTTTTTTCAAAAATAACATTGTAAAATCAACTCATATTTTTCATTTACCGACTGCTTATTTTAAATATAAATTTGTGCATACTTAGCGTGTGCACTCATTCCTAATATCTATATATATTTTTCTTATAGTATTGTGATGATGACCAAATTAAAGTAAAGTTGGATATAATTTATTTACTCGCCTAATGTTTATCTTATTAAATATTGACACAAGTTACTATATGGATCAAATAAGAGAATGTAAGATTAAATTTAATTATTTAGTCATTATGGTAAATCCAATACGTATGAGTTACAAATTTAATCATTGACTTTGGTTTTAATTTTCTAGAAATTAAGTTTTTATTTTTCGTGTTTTGTTTTGTTTTTAGTGAATATTTTTAAAATTTTAAGTAATTTTTTACTTTTTTAAAAGCACTTTACTTAAATGTAGGCAGATTTTTTTTAAGGTTCCTAATATTAAGATTTTATAACATAAAGGACATCAAATATTTTCATGATATCTAAGGTCCCTCAACATCGATCTAGAGAAAATTTTCAATCCAAGAAAAATTCTTTCCAGAGAAAATTGAAATTCTCTCTAGAGAAATTCTCTGGATTCAAACTAGAGAAAATTGAAATTTCTCTAAGTACCAAAGAAATCTAGAGAAAATTGTGGAGAGAAAATTTGTATGGATTTGTATGGCTTCATATTGAGAAAATTGTGTAGAGAAAAGTTGTGTGGCTCTATCCAGAGAAAATTGTGTAGAGAAAATTTATATGGCTCTATCTAGAGAAAATTTGTAAATAAAATCAGATAAAATTTCTCTGACTTCACAAATTTCTCTAGCTCTATTCACAAAGAATTTCTTTGTTCTCATCTGGCATTAGTTTCGCCAGTGTGATTGTGCAGTGTGTTGCTGCTCTAGACTAGATTTGGTCGCCGACGAGATTGTCAGATTATCCGGGTAAGGAAGAAAACCAAATTTTGAAATCTCAAATTCGAAGATCAGTCTCTGTCTTATTCTCTCTGGGAAGATCAGATATAGAGGGAGATGTATGGGAATGTGTGAGGGACCTTAGACATCACAAAATAATATCATAGATCTCTTTCATTATTAAAAATAGGAGAGGGACTTTAGACTAATTTTTCCTTAAATGTATCTAAAATAAAATTATAAAAAAATTAATAAATACACAAGAATACGAAAATGTATTAAATATTCATTATTTTTTTTTATATTTTTGTTATTTAGTGAATTTTTTTTAAAAAAAAAATTTACAAATATTATACTTTTTTAAGTGTATTTATGTTATGTGTGTTTAAAAATTAAAAATAATGCTTAAAATATTAAAAAAATTCATTAAAAATATTAAAATACAGAAAATAAAAAAGTAAAATTTTTTAAAAACTGTTTTTTGAAAATTAAAACCAAACGAATTAAGTTTTTTTGAATGATGTCATGACAAGACCCAATCTAGATTTTGGTATGCAACTGCATTTTCCACCACCGTCTTCTGCCACCACCACCCGCCATCATTTTCCACCACCGTCTTCTGCCACCACCACCCGCCATCATTTTCCACCACCGTCTTCCGCCACCACCACTCGTCACCACCCACCACCTGCCACCACTTGCCATTTCTCACTCTTTTTTATATTTTTAAATTTTTGTTAAACATTTTATCTAAACCAAACACATTTGTAATTTATGTTTTTCTAAAAATAAATAAAAAATAAACAAAAATCAGTTTATAAAAATTTTGGAAATATAAATTGAAAACGTACACATTATCAAACAGGCCCTTACCAAACATGTTTCAGATTGTAAAAATATCATAAAATTAACAAATAATTGAATAAGTTACCAACATAAGAAATAACTTATCAAAAGATTCTTATGCTATGTATGGTTTGATTTTTAGAAAAAAAAATTTAAAAATTAAAAATTAATTTGTTTAAGAAATAAAAAATAAAAAATAATTTTCATTTCGTTTAAAAAATAATTTTTTTATTTTTTATTTCTTAACCAAATTAATTTTTAATTTTAAAAAAAATTCTAAAAATCAAACCATATATAGCCTAAGAATCTTTTGATAAGTCATTTCTTACGTTGATAACTTATTTAATTATTTATTAATTTTAGGACATTTTTACCATCTGAGACCTGTTTGGTAATCATTTCATTTTCAGTTTTCAATTTATATTTATAAAAATTTTAAAAACTGTCATAAAAACTTATTTTATAATTTTTTTGGTTTATAAATAGTTGTCTCAGTTTGTAAATTTGAGAAAAAAATATAAATTCAAAAAATGAGTTTACGTTGGTTTTTAAACAAAAATGTAAAAATTTTACTAACAAATTTTTTTTTCCAATTAATTTTTTTCCCAACTAATACTAACCGAGGGGGCAATTGGTAATAAGACTTTAAACCTTAGGGAGGGGATTGTAATTTCTAAAATGTGAGGGGTGTCAATGTAATTTACCCAATGAGTGTAAAATTGGTATTTAAAAAAATTAAAAGGGCTGAGGAAAAAATCTGTAATGAAACTCTAAATCTCAGGGGGGGAGATGTAATTTCTAAAAAGTGAGAGAGAACTATAATAACTATAAATCTCAAGAGGTGTCAGTGTAATTTACCCTAAATTTTATTTTCAATAACGTAGGTATAACTCACTTGAAAACATATTCATACTCCTTTCTCTCCCTCTTTTAAATTTTATTTTTTTATTTACATTATTAGGGTAAAATTGAAAGCACTCAATTAAAAAATACAACCTGTTTTTATAAAAATTGTTTAGTGAGAAAAACGGTTTTTGAAAGATTTTGGTTGTGTTTGGTTTAATTTTGAAATTGTGATTCTCTTTTTGGAGTTGTGATTTGAGTGTGAAATTGTGAGTTGAGTTTTAAAAAGAGAAAATTTGTTTGATTATGAGTTTTGAAAAGTATTTTAAAAGGGATTTTCAGTCGCCCGCCAAAATATCCTCCCGAGCATCTTGCTAGTCGTTCGAAACAATGCCATTTTTTTTTTTTGGCAATTGCAACCTGTTATTTGAAAAAAATAATAATAATATATTTGTTTTAGATATTTTTTAAGGGATAATTATATTTCACCCCATGTGGTTTCACGTGTTTTCACATTATCTCCCTAACGTTGATATATATACTCATAAACTCTTTGTGGTTTTGAATGAAATGCAAAAGGGACGCGACGTGACGAAATTATTGAAAAGACTAGAATACCCTTATTTTTTTCTTCAATTTTCTTATGAATGTCATTTTACTTCCATTTTTCTCACAATTGAACTCTCTCTCTCTCTCTCTATGAACTTCCTCTATATATGTGTATATATATATATATTATATAGATATGAAATGCATTCAAACCACAACCCACAAACCCATATCTCTCTCTCTCTCTCTCTCTCTCTCTCTCTCTCTCTCTCTCTCTCTCATGGACGCTCTCTACAACACTCACGTAAAGCTTCTAGCTTTCGACTTCCTCTCTCTCACTCCATCTTCCTCAGACCCAACCTCCTTTTCCCGCAAACCCTCTCCTCTCTTCTTCTCCCGCGCCGAAACCCTAGGCGTCGTCACAACCCTGTGTGTGTATATATATATATATATGAAATGCATCCAAATCCATCTCCTCCATGTATACATATAAAATGCGTCAAACCTAACTCCTCCATGTATATATATGAAATGCATCTCTGAAACAATATTTCATAGGCATCTATCTATCTATCTATATATTGTATAAGGAAAAGGGGGTTGCTAAATCTACAAGTTTTGTGGGAGTTCTAATATCTTAATACTAATTTTCTAATTTTTTGATTTAAAAAAAAAAAAAAGAACTCAGCATTTATTGACTTCTCCCAACCCACAAATCTTTTTTACTTCTCTCATAATTACTGCAGCACCCTTTTCAATTTCTCTCATACACTATAGTTACACACAAAAATAAAAAAAATAAGACTTTAGTTATAGATCTCAAAAAAATATAACAACATCTAAATTTGAATTTTGATTTAGTAATATAATTATCTATTTTTTTGATGTATATATATCAGAATTTTAAATCACTTAATAGAATAAATTAATCAATTTTCTAAAATTATTAATTTTTTAATTTATAAAGTAGATTAAAAAAACTATTGACTGATTTATTTATTTAATAGTTAAAATATTTCATAATCTCTCCATACTAATCTCTCTCACCGATTTCTAAAAAAAAATTATTAAAACTTGCTTCCTTCTCTTTTTTCAAAAAAATCAGATAATGTTTTTCATGAAAGTTTTAGATATCTATCTATATCTTATATATTATATTATAACATAACAAACAAACAAAAAAAACTAAAAATCATATATACAAACAAATAAAATTAATAAATCTGATTTTATTTATTCAGTTAAAATCTTTCTTTTGCACCTCAATATCCAATTTTAAATTTCAAAATTTTTTGAAGTTTATCTAAACAAATCTAATTTGAAATATCTCCCACCATTATACTTTAAATCAATAAAACTCACATGTCTATCAAAAATCTAACTCACATCATAACTTACCTAAATAATAATAATTAAAAACAAATAGAAACCAAAGATAATGGGACAAATTAATCAATTTTCTAAAATTATTGATTTTTTAATTTATAAAATAGATTAAAAAAACTATTGACTATTTATTTATTTAATAGCCAAAATATTTCATAATCTCTCTTACCGATTTCTAAAAAAAAATATTAAAACTTGTCTTCCTTCTCTCTTTCCAAAAAAATCAGATAATATTTTTCATAAAAGTTATAGATATCTATCTATATCTTATATATTATATTATAACATAAC